CGTATACGTTTTCAGTAAGAAATCTGTCATCAAATCTACATTTCCGATTGCAATTCGTAAATTGTAGTTAATACAGATGGAACGTGCTTGGTTAAGTGCCATTGAATATATTTTTATTTAAAAATGGGAAAAAGCGTATTTAACTACATATTTTGATACATTTTAGTTCAACACTATTCAATTCGTTTGTTTTGTGAATTTTATTTTAATTAATTATTGCAATAAATTCAAGAATAAATTCTTACTAAAGTATATACGTGTACAGTGCTAATTCTGCTATTTATTGCTACTTTCGCTATTTTCTTCATGTAAGTGTCCCTATTTTTTTGCTAATGTGCTAATTCTAATTCGCATGGATATCCCCTAGGAGTATATGCAAATAGAGGAAACATACAACGAAATTGTTCATCGCTCAAATTTCTGTGTGAACTTTATTTCTATTTTTTATTTTTATTCTTGTGTTTGTGTCATGGTGAAAGAAAAACATTAGCAATTTGAATGCTTTCAATTCCACTGTTTGTTGTATAGAAAGTTTATCGTCCGAAATAATAATAATTTGCCTCTCTGCAAACACTCTATTCAGCAATGTGTATCTATACGCATGCATTGTTTAAACAATAAACCAATTTGACTGGTTATTGTATGGCGGATAACATTTTTGCGCCTGAAATGGTTTTCGGGTTGTATTCTTATGTTTAGTTAGTCGTTCGTCTTCCACTCAATATGGCCTTTCTCCTCATTTCGTTTCACATATGCATTTCACACAAAAGTTTCGTTCAATTCAACACCTATCGTCGAATGCTGCATTTTGTGTGCGGTATTTCGTTTTTCACCTAAAGAAACCATGTGCATTCAACCAATTCGATGTTGCCGCACGAAAATCCCAATTTTGAATTTCGGTTGTTATTTTGGAAACATTTCGCTCTCTCTCTCTCTCTCTATCTGGCATATCCGAATTTTAAAGCAATCTCTCTAGATTTAAACACTCTTAAGCTGTGCTCCATATCGGCAATGTGAGACCATGTATACATGCATGTGAAAGCATATGCATAAAAATCTAATCCAAACATCGATAAAGCCAAAGCCTGTGCACATCAGACAGAATCGAAAAATGAATTTAAAAATGTATAAAACCGATTTGAATTGATCGAAAATAAACAAACGATTGGAAAAGAATCGAGTAAATCAATAAAAAAAACCATGTTTTAGCGTGTTAGTTATTTTACCTTTGTTTAGCTGCCTCATGTTCTATGCTTCAAATTGAAACAAAAGCCATATCTGCTAAATTATTATACCGTCAACTGTTGTTTCGCCAACTGCGAATGATTAAATCGTAAGCAAACAAATAAATCAATAAAATTAAAATTCGGTAAAATAACATCTAAAGCAACGTGTGTGCGGCGTACAAACAATACATCGCAGTTTTGGTACCAAAATAATGAACGACGACCCAATCATACACCAATTTATCAAGGTGTGTTGTATGTCATTAATGTGCAGTTAAACCACCAAAATGATCAGTATACCGCAAATAATAATATAACTTCTCTACCATTTGCCACGCCAATAGTTTGGCCGATGTATACGCTTACCACATGTTTGCGCTGTTGATTGGTTGAGCCCGACGGTTGCGTTCATCGTAATTTTTCAGTGTTGAACTATTTATATTTCTATTTTTTACTGTTTTTGCTCTTTTTTTTCACTCTTCTATCCAGCATCGTTTCCAATTTGTTATTCCATGGCTTTTTAAATACATATCCGACATCTTTTACTCGTTTTCCTACATCGGTACTTATAAAATGTTACACTTTTGTCTTCTAGTTCATTGGTTAGCGTCGAGTGGAATAATCGTTTACTCATATAAATGTATATCGTAGTGAATGTTTATTCTGTTCAATAGAGACAAACGCTGTATATTTTTTTTTTTCAAAGCGAAGCTTGGTATGAAATATACAAACAGCAAAAAAGAAACATTGAAAATGTTACCATATGACTTAATATGTTTTAATGTCAATAGAGACTAAAAATCAGAAAGAGATAGCATGAACAAATCTAGATCAATATAATATCAGAGTTAGTTCATTAACATTTTTGTTGAGCATTGTTCGTAATTTAATTTTTTCCATCCATTTATTGATTTCTTCAAATTGGTCTCAAAGTGATTTTTTTTTGTTTCAAAATTAACCAGAGTATTGCTCAGCGCTGCTGCCATCCACAGCATATTAAAATATCTTGCTGAGAATATGTCGTCCGTCGCATGCGAATGTACGTAGCAGTTTATACATCACAGCAAACAAGAATGAATGCATTGTTCTCTTCACGATTATGTCACTCAAAACATTCAAACGATTGTATAGAGAACAATGCAATGTATTGTTGTTCGCTGTGATGTAAAAACTGCTACGTAACTTCGCATTCGACAGACGACGCATTCTCAGCAAGATATTTTAATATGCAGCGCTGAGCAATACTCTGAAATTAACAATTTTAAGATGATTTTATTTTGATTTTTTTTTTTTCAGGTCGAATAATGCGGTAATAATCATACAAAATTTCCAAAGAAATGAATTTATCGTCGATTGTTAAAGAATAACAAAACGTATTCGTTGCATGAAATATTGGACAAATGTCAACAAGTCTTCGACTTTTTCGGTTCGTTTTAATCATATCAATCGTTTTCGGATTGAGAGAAAGATAGAAATATTTTGCGAAATGAAGAAGATTTAAATTGCAAAACACATATAAGCACAACTACACGTAAAGCAACGCGGTACATTTCTTTTCTTATCGAATTTTTTTTTTCAATTCGCTAAATTGAATGAAAGTATGGATGGTGGACGAGCGTGCATTTTTCACACAAATATAGACAAACACATTCACCATATTTTACACAGTGAAATCGATGACAGACAAAAGTCAATTTACATTTATGTAGAGAATAATATGTGGGTCAAACGAAGACCGATGATAAAACAATTTTCCTTTAAAATTTAAGCCTAGAGGGTATTACACGTGTACATTATTTACATATGCATTAGATCATAGGTCATGGAAATTTAAATAAGCTCACATTCCCAATGCTGAGATAAGCAAAAAAGACTTAATTTTACGCCTAAAAAAATAAATATATTGAAAAGATCAAAATTTGTTTTACTTTTTTTTTTCGTTCTCTCTGTGTTCTGTTTTCCTTCCTTAGTTTTTATCACGAATCCAGCAAGGTAAAAAAAATAAAAAAAATTCATATGCATTTTTGAAAAGTGACGCTGACGGTTAAAGTGTTTCTTGGAACAAAACTATTTTCAATGACGGACGGTAATAAATCGTTGTGGCATTTTGCAAACGTTGTCAAATTTACTGTTTTTTAAACACTTGAAGTGTTTGTACTTGCATTCTGTATACTATGGCATTTTTTTTGTTGAAATAAATAAAATAGAAAGTGAACAGACCATATCTACCATGTGATGTTATACTTGAAAACCGAATCTATGAAACTTAGAAAGAAAAATCGATTCACCGCACCGAAGAGCGTAGACAAAACGAACGTTGTTTTCATCAATTTTGATCGTTTATCATGTATGCACGCAAGGGGATGCTCACGCTTTTGAAAACTGTGACATATGAATGGGCTAAAGTAAAAACTCGATTTGAATCTATAAAAGCGGAATAACTCAATACAAATTTGAACGAATTTTACATAGCTTCAAAATATAAATCGAATTTTTATTCTAACCCAATACTGAATATTTAGAGATATTCTATTTAGAGTGAAATTTCTGAAAATAAACATACATCTCATGATAAGAAAACGTATTATTTCCCCTAGCATGCACGTTAACTATAATCAAAAGCCACAAATTGAATTGTTTTCACAAACTTGAAACTCATAGTCATTTTTCCATCAGTTTGTTTATTGTAATATGATCTGATATAAGGTCTCGCATTAGAGACGAGCAAAGGATTGACATTTATGATTTTCATTACAGCTATATGGATAAAAATAATTATCCAGTTGTTTTTCGGTTACATTCACTGATAGAATAGAGATGGCCAACTTGGTGATTGGTGCATTATATGCTTAGTTGGTTTTCATATTGTCAACATGTCTTTGCAATAGTTATGTGAGAATGATTGCATACAGAATAGTCATATGTACGCACGAATGTGTTGAAACCGTATAAACGTCAAAATAGTTATAGCTGTCTTGCATCTGATGCATTCAAGTGAATCGGTGTAAATGAAGCTAGTGGAACGACATTAATAGAACATAAAATGGCACGTACTGGCTGAGAAAATACTTTCTTTTTATTCTCTTCCACTTCTTCTTCTTCTTCTTCTTTTTATTTAAAAATAGAGAGAGAAAATACTAAGCCCAAAAATGCTTGAAATTTTTCTTATTCGTTCGTTAGTGCATTTTATTGGTAATTTCGTGTACGACTGCACGAGAAAGTGAAATCGACAGAGATAGAGAAACCAACAAACGGAAGAGATTCTAAACGATGGTTATCAAAATGTAAACAAAAACGTGGGTAAACACATCGAACTGATAATTTTCCAAAATGTCGTATTTTTTTACGGTTATCGATATCGTTGTTTAACAAAACTGAATCTCATATCCATTTCGTTAAACAAAAATGTACTTGAAGTGATGAAAATGCATCTGAAACGGCGTTTCAGAAAGGGATCGCTTTTTATTTGACAACGAATTGAAAATCGATCGTCATTTTTATGGGTGTTTATTGATCGATAATGGTTTCATATGCTATATACGTAAATAAGTATTATATTTTGGTCAGCACATCTTTTGTGGCCGATAAGAAAATGTAAAATCGTTAAACAAACACAATTCAACGCATTCACAATAACTACCTACGAGACTACCAGAATGAGGCGATAAACGTAAATGCATTAAAATCATTTTGGATTTGAATGTTTATTCAATGTATAAACATCCGATAATCCAATAAACAAATATAGTTCAACCATAGCTTTGCAAGCGTACCGCTTCAATCAACAACACATACTCTTTTTGCTCGTCTTCGCCCTCCCTATTTTCTTGGTAATTGTCGCTCATAAATTTCACTGATTTCATTGAATTGTTTATGGTGAATAAGTGATTGCTATGCTTTATTCGCTATGTTTATAACCAAGCAAAATCGTATTCAATTTCATGTTTGGGTTTTCTCAGTATTTTCAACATATGAAATTCAGTTCAATTTACGTTTAATCAAATTCTTCCACGTTTTTTTATTTTACATTATACAGCATTCTTTTCTCTTACAGCAAAAAAAAAATAATTCTCATGATTGCATTTTTAATTTTCGAACTGATTATTACAAAATACTCAGAATCTCTGTTTTTTCTGTCGATCGCGTTATTTCTCTCACCCTCTGGCAAAAACATGCAGTACATTTTTGTCAACGAATCGTTTTTTGGCAAATTATTTTTTTAAGCTTCAAGATTTTTAACTTGTAACATTCGGAACACATCTAACATCGTCTTACAAATCGAGTCTTCGTAAAAAGTCACGTAAATGCTGTTGTGGTTCGAAATCATTTGGTTTAAAATTCAATAACCAAAGACAAAACGACACTGCCATTTAATAGAGAAGTAGCAACATCATCCAAAAATAGTTGAACCAGTAGCAATAAAATGGAATCTAGACGATGCTCCAAATATTTTCTATATACAATAGGTAGCGAAAGTGAATGAACAAACTGAAGTTGCATTTGTGCGAACTTTGATTGGATTAAATTCATAGATTGTCGACGTTTTTATGTGACTACATATCCTTGAACACTTATATGACAGCGCAAATACTTTGTGGTCTGCCATTGCATGGTAGTGCTTGCAGGCACTGTACAACTTGTACAATGTACATACACTGCATCCCATCTCTTTTTCAATTCGTACATCTTTCTTGGCCACTCTTTTTCTGTTGTATTGTTTCCGTACAAAAAAAAATTTGTTATTAAGTTAGATTGTAAAAATTGAAAGATTCAAACATTATAGAAATGCACTAAATGTTACTTTTGAAAAGTGAAAATCGAACACTTCATAAAATACTAAAGAATAAAAAAAATGCTTTCATTCACTAAATGTACTAAAGATGTACAGAAAGCCACGGTACATTTTCTCATTCGAAAATAGATTTATATCGAATGTTGTTGTTTGTTTTCAAATTTTAAAAACATGTTTTAGTTGGTGTTAGCGTCTGCCGAATTTTCGATGTGTTATAATTGCATTTTGGCAGTTTCGTTCACCACTCACACTTAAAATTCAATTAGAATAAATAATTTGGTTAGATGTATGACATTAATCTTTCCACGCCAACTCATTTAACTGTGCACAGTGCACTAATGAATTATAGACCACAATCATTTATTTGTCGATGACATAACGCAAAAACATTATTCTTCTCTTGGTGTTTTTTTCTTCTTTCTTCTCAAAAACAACACTGTTTTATTCTCGATTTCGTCTGTCATTTGCATTTGAGTTCCTGAGCGATAAGTAATCCGTAATTCTTGTCATTACGTCAATTGTGTTTGGTCGACTTTTCTAGCGATACACGATGCAGCTTAAAATTTGATTTCAATGTGGAATGTATGCTTTGCCTCTGGTTTTAGACGCTTGTCAACGCCCAATGAAATTCCCATTTGTACATTTATGCACTACAAGGCAAAATAAAAAGGGAAAACCTAAGAAAAAAAAGTAAATAAATAAATAAGTGAAATAAAAATCTCAACACTGTCAGAATCAGTGAGATGCTATTACTGTTGCCGTTGCTGTTGCCAATCGACCATTAAAACTTTCAACGGGAAAAAGAGACAGAGAAAAGGAGAAACCAAACAAATTTATAGATGAAAACCATTACACAGACGAACACGATCAACAAATCGTTATGTTTTTCATATGGTATTTTCAATGGTTTATAATATATAGTTATGAACGAAATGAATGAAATGCGTGTGCGGCTCAATATCGATGCACTCCGGTATTCATGTGCTAAAAGATGGTGTAGAGAGAGAGAGAGAGAGAGAGAGAGAGAGAGAGAGAATCGAATACAACATGAAAGCACTTGTAAACTGAAACTCGTTGGCAGTTTCTGTTTCACTTCTTAGCACATTTTTGGTATGCCGTAGTTGACAGTTGATGGCGCACATGCTGAATAATTTGATTAAATTCTATATAAACACTTAAATAACATGATTGAAGAGTGCCACTTACATATTGATTTACTATCCATTTTGTATGCAATCAGACTAAGTCCTTCGATGTGATTGATCGCATTTAATGCATTAATATATGGCAATTATGCTAACATAAAGACAAAGAGATACAGAAATAGAGATGAAATCATTTGAATCATTCACTTTCGGAATTGCATTGAACCCTTTAGTTATTTTTTCTTTATTTTCTTGTTATCTCTTCAACGATACAGTAACGGAATTAATTCTACAATTCTATATGCTCCCTTGTCGTAATTGTTCGCACTCAGGACAATCACTCAAATGGGAAAAATTGACAAAACCCACTACAGAAACATTAAACGAAGAAGATTGAAATATATGAAGGGAAAATGCGAGCCGTGAGAACTTTTCACATATAGTTGACATTGGACTTATATAAAATGAAACATATCAAGTATACTATAGAGCCCTTATTAGTATTGAACGCAAACGACACTTTGCCTGAAGGAACGATAACCAGTGACACAATCCACTGATACCAAACTATTTTAACATTCTTTTCTCAATGATAATTAAGCATCATTCGATTTAATTTTATTTTGTGCTTGCAATGTTCAAAACAAAAAATGACGTATACCATAAAACTAATTATATAACTACGAAAATTATGTATTCAAAAGGTGGAACACGCGAACTTTCATTCATATTTCGATTTAGTAACTGTTCAGTACATGGAAAATCCGGTTTGAAAATCTTTCGCAAAGAAAATATATACCGTGGAAATTTGAATGTTTTGTTAGAGTTATATGCTTTAGAATATGAATATCACCAAAATTGAATTACATAATTGGTAATGTTGATTGTGGCAAATTGGTGTGCTATTTAATTAAACTCAAACAGCGAAATGAGCTTGACATTTTTGAATGAATCATTCCAACAATGGTATTCA